TTAACTCAATCACTGTGCTTGCATCTTGAATTCTCGTTTCTGAGACACAGCACACATCAATACCAAGCGAGTCCAGTGTGAGTGCAAGAGCAGATTGTTGTCCTGCTTGCTTCAGAGTGTGGACATTGAACACGGTCAGATAGACTGTGTCGAGGCTTGAGGACTGAAGGCGACCCGGTTGATGGCACCACGCGACGGCCGATGTGGCATGAGCTTATTGGTGTATGAGCAACTCATGGTTGTACGTGGGCGCCCACACCTAGACAGGAGGACGATTAGAGTCCTCAACCAAAGCCTTTGGCTCAAAAGCCTAACCGCAAGGCAGCGCTGTTTGGCGGGAAATACAAATGCATTACCATTTCTACAGAACAAGTCGCCACATGTTCCAACCCCCAACCTGGAGGGCCAGGAGACTGTGTTCGTCAGACCTCTAACCATTGACCAACCTGGTATGAGAGACTCTGTGAGTGCCGCGGGACACTCTCCAGTATAGCTCAATGGATCGCTGAGGTGCGCAAACCGTCACACCACGGTAAGGTCCAGTCTCTTCGTGACGGGATGCTTACTAGGGTAAGAATAGAATAAATAGTTCAGCTGTAGCAGAATTTTGGTATCCAAATGCCATGCCAACGGGAGGCACGAGGGCTGGGATATTGTCAGGTTGCCTAGGCCAAGAGAGTCGAGGTGCATAGGTCGGATTCGAACCAAGGGTCTGGTCAGTAAGTGTACTCTCGTATAGCCCAATGGGTTGCTAAGATACGCAAGTAGTCTTATCGCGATCATGTTCAGCCTCTTCGCGACAGATAGAAGAAGCGGTTGTCTTGCGTTGAGGCCGGCAGTTCATCAGCAACCGACCTGCAGAGGTTGGCTAAACCCTACTTTCCAACCGACAACAGGAGCAAGCGGAAACAACTGCGGCGGATTACATCAACTCTCATCCAGCGGCTAAGACGACTCCGTTCAAGTGCTTCTAATAGTGTTGCCTCGCAGTTTTCAATTGGTTGTGCAGATGTAAGTGGTGCACCCCAAACAAAAGCCGAGCGGCCCAGGGGACAGCCCATAACAAGAAAACACGTGACGTCCCCAATTATTTATTCTTGATTCTAGGGCGTTCCAGGTGGTCCATGTAATTTTGGCTCTCCCAGAAGCTGGGTTTAAGCCGCAAAACTCAGTATAAGGAAACTCGTTTACGCTGGAATTTACGGACCAATGCTGATAACGGAAACAAAGGCATTGTCAAGCATGCCCTTCACACCAAACTCTACTTGACGCCGTAGGGAGCATATCCTGCAGAAATCTGTAGTATAGACGTCCGTCATTTTGGTTGACCTATACATAGGTACTGGTGACGTATAACCTTGCTTACTGGGCTTCGGCTCATGGGCTTGCTTTCCGTCTTCCAGCCGCAGGAATTTTCCTGAACCTGCTTTCGGAGAACCACTGTCCTCTGGTCCTTGCATAGCGCGCATACTATACTCAGTGATGTCCGTACACAACAGTTTAGCATAGATACGTTTCATGAGGCTGATATGTGCCATATCATGTCGGCAGGAATGAGACTCGAGTCCCATTCCGCTCTGATCAAAACAGTTTCTTGTAAACGGTGTTACAAATCCTAACTCAGTTCTTGCCCCTCTGTTCCACCCAGTACTGTAGTTTGGGCAAAGGAAAATCGTTACGACCCTATTTAGGTAGCGACAGCAGAAGTCCCCACATGGCCATGCCACAACCCTCGTGGTAAGCAAGAAGAGCCACGCTTTTAACGTACTGTTCTGATTGGTCCATAGTCTGACCAATCACAATATGCCTTCATTCGCAAGTCCAGTAGTATTGCTCAGTTATAGGGAGCAGTGGGCCTCTCAAGCTAACCTGAGGATACCATACTGTCAAACGAGACAAACAATGGTACTTCCCACTTAATCAGCCAGGAACCAGTACAATCGCTACTGGATCATCATGGGAATGGGCATGGGCACAAAACATTAAACGTCAGGGACTAACAGTAGAATTTTTCGATGAGTGTGGCGTTTTGTACCTTTATTTTGCTTCCGTTATGACACGACGTGTTTCATCACTTGTGTAATCGTTTTTTTCGAATACGAACGACTACAAAACCCGCACTTGTACAAGATCATGCTATACGATCCTGGTCACGTGCTTCGACTCTCTCCTCTGATTTCGCTCGCGCTTACAGCGGTCACTCGCGAGTCTCATGTGCTGACTCTGGTGTCAAAACATTTCAGGCCATCTTCGGGACCCATCATATGTGGGAACTGTTCACAGGAAGACCCTGGATAATTGCTTATTCCTGGGCCAACGGCGAACCATTTTAAAGAGAACAATTATTAGTGAATCTGTTCCATCTGACGTCTTTATTATTGCTTAGCCAAACTAGCGTTATTATTTTTATTTCTTTGCCACAAAGTAACTTACTGGGTAGCCAGACCACTATACAGGCGGGATGACGAACAACGGTTCCAGCTGCCAGCATCAACAGGAACCGTCTCATGACAAGATATCCCCTTCATAATCGCAACAAAATACTGAACACTATCACCCACAGGCTTGGAAACTCCGGAAAAGACAGTATTCATCCATGGACATGCACAAATAATAACAATTCTTGTGGCACGTGCCGATTTGGTATAGCTTCCGAATCATCCATCATTCTTGTTGTACATCGCTTCGCCAGCGGTACACTCTTTTTAAGTGTCCAAGTTACACCAGCTTTTTTCGCATGTGATGATCAAACGGAGATATTATCTGCCCTGTATCGTGTTCTGGAGCACTAACGCAAGTGCTAAAGTCCAGCTGCTGCCTACATCATCAGCCACTAGTCGGAATTAGCTCAGAAGAACAGTCTGTCGCATGTTTTATGAGGGAAAAACGCCAAGCGTATTTATTCAGACAGCTGGTACAACATCGCGCGGCCCGGATGCCATGGTCCTTAAGATTGGGAAGGACTGATACGCCTTCGACCGCTACCGCGCCACGGAAACATAATGATTTTCTCTGTGAGACCCAAGCGAGTGAACTAAAACCTTAAATGTAAGAATGTTTCATCGTTTCCATATGTGCTCAGACCAAAAGTCACCCTCCTCCTCAGTCATTTTGAGCGATTTGTTTTAATTGATCCCTCCCGAAATTTTTTGGCGCATATTGAACTCCGAAATTGCTGTGCTGTGGCTTCGGAAGTGGCTTCACACGCGCATGTTGGGAAATTGTGGGCTTTATTCTTTTGATTCTTCAGGGTTTTCAAGGCCTTAAATCAATACATGTAGGGCATTTGTGCGTTCATCCAGAAACCGAAGTGCCAGCGATCGGTGTACTAAAAAAGCAGCAGGCGACCTCCAAGACCGAGGGAAATTTGGGTAATCCGACGAAGTTAGGAAGCTGAGCTCGTTTTCAACAGTACGTGAAACATCGGCTGTTCACCGCGGGTTTGTCTACGGTTTAGTCTCTCAGTCACCTCTTATTTTCAAAAACAAAACTAACAATAAGAAGTACGATCGGCTTCCGGCGAACCGACGGCTAACCGAAGGAGATTTGGGCACCTGCAGGGATAACTTTAATACGGAACGCTGTCGTGGGAAGTGCGGTATTTTGATGAATGCAGAATGATCCTTACCACTCTATATATATACACCTACCGCTGAAAATGTGGACCAGCCCTGTCGTTATTAGGTGCCGCATAGCTGAGTTCTATTATTGAAAATGATATGCCTTTTGCCCTGGGAAAACTCCAAAAGATCGGACGCGTGCAATCAGAGGAAGGTCACTATAGCTACGTATGCTTCACCTGATGGCAGAAGGAGTTCCGACGCTTTCCAGATGTAGTGAATGAAGACGGAACAAACCTCCTTGGTTAAGTTTTCTAAGCACCTAATAATCGGCCTGTAGGCGCCAGCTGTATACCTTCTAGAGAATGGACGGAGTGAGTGCCGGCCGTCTGGTTTTGCATACGTTCGTGGAGAGCGAACAGTTTGCTCCCATGCGTGATCTGTTCTACTTATTAAAGGAAATGATAGGGGACCAATATCCAGTTCGACTTATGAACAGGTTGGCGGCGGAAATGCGGGTGGCAATAGTTGCGTTCGGCTGCGACGTAATACTGTGCTATTTTCATATAATAATTATAATTATGCTTATTCCCAACTAGAAGCTATCAGAAAACACGTACGTATCATCTAATACCGATGCTTTGTTTGTCACAAACACAGAGTCGGCACACATCCCACCACATGGCCCCCTTGGACAGCGCCATACAGTGGGGTTTTTGTTTATCGTAATACACGCACACAGATTTAACCAAGCTTCACGGATTCTGCGCCGCACAGGCCCATGATGTTTCCCTTATCTCACGGTTTGCTGGGTGTTACATCACCGGAAAATGGGCCGTACACGCACAGGTTGGAATGGATAACCAACAGCCATCTAGAGGGTACGAAAGGCCGCGTTAAAGACCGGATGCATCACTCCGACACACTGGGGCATGCCATACAAAAGGTGTTCTGGCACGCCGAGCGGCTCCTGTGAGGTGTTATGCGTACGTCGTATTACTGCGACAGGGAACAAGTCCTGAAGGGTGACGGCCAAGTTCTGCATGCGGTCCAACACTATGGTAGTGTTGAAACAGACAGGGTGGGGCCAACCCAAATTAACCATATTATAGTTTGTGGTGCAAACACACAGATGCTCCCAGACGCTGGGAACTGCACATGCCCTTTCTTTCAGCAGGTGTGGCTCCCTTGCATACATTTGTTCTCAGGATTTCCAGCAGTAAGAAATATTCTTAGTATTCTCCCCAATTCGCCAACGAAGGTCGTCGGGTCCCAACCCACCGGAAGAAGGTGCAACCCTCTCTCTTGTTCCCAAACCTTCACCGGCAGCCTTTGACGGCCTTTGTAAACAACTCAAACGAGTGCCGGATAAGCTTTCAGGACAAGAACAAAGAAGCGCCACAGCCATCCGTGAGCAATTGTGTGGTTAAACTTCAGGTCCTTCGCTAGTAGTAGGTTATTCAGGGATAACATCATATTCGGATGCCAAAATATCATCCACGGGATATCCATTAGTATTTGAAGTAGCAGGAGTGCCGTTAACAGACTGACCTTTGGTATTGCACTCAACCTGGTCAATGTGTCTGCGGTGACATGAGGGATTATCCAAATCGAGAATTGTGACCATCCTTTTGCCATTTGACGAAAGCATTTTTCCTGCAGCAGGTCGTACATTGTGGGCAATTGTTCAAAGTATCGAACTGAGCTTGTAGTTATGATATGGGAGCAAGAATCGGATATGAATCTGTAGAAGCAGTGGGTGTAGGGCGGCAGAGGGAGTTAACGGGGTTACTGGGGTAGGCCTCGTGGATTTCATCCGCCATCTGTGCTAACTGCTTCGAGCTGTGGTCATCAACGTAAGTATTGACAACGCGGGACATGGAGGGTGAAAGTTTGTCGAGCCATAGTTGAGCCATGATTTTCACCGCTAGCTCACGGCCGCAGAGGAGACTGCGCATGTGGCGAAGCAGTTGTGATGGCGATCTCTCACCAGGTTCGACAGTGGTGAATAAATCCCGTAGCACTTTGTTTTCGGATTATCCTTGTCCTACTGGTGACGGCCGCTCGAAGGGCATCATGGAGATTTCCCTTGGGGATATCTTCCAACACATCTTTCTCTTCCAGCATCACAAGGAAGATGCTGGATAACATAGGAAAATTGGGGTCTTGAGTAGTGATGCGTCGGTTAGTAAAAACGGCCTCCACCTGGTGAAACCACACCCTGGGATTGCGTGGATTATAGTCTGGTAAAAGTCCATGTATCGTATTCTCGTTTAAATCCGATGAATCAAAGTGTGTCCCCATGGGGGATAAAGAAAACAAAACTGCGACGACTTGAAGGGAAAAATTTTCAAAAAATATCTAGAAATGCTCGGGTTCACCAAATATGTGGTGGTATGGCTACCCAATAAGTTAGTTTACCATGTGTGTGGCAAAGAAATAAACACAGCGACGCTAGGTTGGGTGTACAATAATAAAGAAGTAAGATGGAATAGAAAAACTAACAATTGTTCTCTTTAAGAAGGTTCGTCGTTGCCCCAGGCCGGCCAATAAACAATAATCCAATTATGTTGGTCCCATATATAATAGATTCCGAAGATGGTTTGAATTGTTTTAGTACCAGAGTTAGCACATGAGACTCGCGGATGACCACTGCAAGCGCGATCGAAACCAGAAGAGAGAGTTGAAGCACTTGACCACGCTAGTATTCCGTGAAATTGAACAAGTGCGCGTTTTTATAGTTTTTCGTATTCAAACAAAAAACGATTATGCAATTGATGAAATGCGTAGTGGTAAAATGGAAGCAAAGTAAAGGTACAAAAACCACACTAGACGATTTCCACCTAAGGATATGGGATATATAAGCGAAATATCTCATTATAGTTGGATCACGCTAATGAATCTCACGCAAGAAGCTGAACCAAACTGTCCCAATTCATGAGACTGACTCCCAAAACAGGCGTATCACCTACGCCCGTACTGTTGGCAGCCTAAGGCAATACTGAAAGTTCTTAGATGCTGCCGGATTTCGCAGTTCTATATGGTTTTTATTCTCCAGCGCCCAGCAGTTCTCGGGATCCGTAGCTCAAGCCTAATTCTGACGAATTTTTCAATAGGATTATGCCGAGTAAACAGTAAATGTCAAATATCGAAAAATTCAAGGGTCACCAAAGAAAAATACCCCCAATTAGGCAACATTTTATGAGAAAATTCTCCTTCTGTCATTCTTCGAAATAGCTGATTTTATCAGTGGGACATTCCTATTCTTGCCTCACATGCTTCAGTACCATTTTGAACTGACCTCAAATTGATGGACTCAGTGTTCGTTCGGATCAACGGCACCCTTAGAATGGCGGCGCAAAACCATAATGTGAAATCCGAGAAGAGTGAGTTCTGCACGGATTCCTCAGCTGTGCTATGCTTTTTATGACTTTTCTAACTCGTTTCGTTTTTTTAGTTAAGGTGCCTCGGAATTTTTACCTCTTGGAGGAACTAGAGCAAGGACAAAAAGGATGCCAAGATGGAACCATAAGCTGGGGGCTCGAAGATATGGATTCCACCCTTACAAAATGGACTGGAGTTATACTTGGCCCCAGCCGGACACCATTTGAAGGCAGGCTTTATCTCCTACAGATAGAGTGCGGTCCCAATTACCCAGATGTCGCCCCTTCTGTTCGGTAAGTTCGTGGGCATACTTGTCTTCTGTGAAGACTTAACCAAAACCTTACGGCTGAATATTACAAGCCAGTGTACGGAACAGATTAACAGATAAGTTTCGGTAGTCATCCAATTTCCCGTGAATATATTTTCCACCGATCTCATGACACCAGCTTTCGGATGACTTGCGGAACACTGTGAGTCCAGCAGGCTCTAAGAGGACAGATTTCCCCCACATCACGACGCGGGTAACCGCAGCTTTATTGCTGTTGTCTGAACCCCAGTAGACCATCTACAAATACAGACGACAACCCCCGGCAACCATACTCGCACCTTTGCGAGCAACTCTGTTGGTTCTCTTGTGCTCAGGTCTCAGCAATGGCTCTGCCGAAGTGGCAATAAGTTTTTAAGTCTCTCTGAGCTAACTGGCCCACGGGAGGATGCCCTCGTCAATGTACAGCATTCCTCAAGCGAAACAAGCAGAAAGGATGTGATTTTCATGACAGCCATACACAAAGCATCAACATAAGCGTGCAGTTGACCGAGACCTGATGCAGGTTGAAGTAAACTATGCCGCCTTTGAGATCGAGAAAGTAAGTAGTAGTAGTAGTAGTATAGGACCCGCCGAGTATTCTTTTGAAAACAACGTGAAGTGCCGCACTACTACTACGTCTTATAGTAATCCATTCCAAGGTTTTACCCCCCGGGGGGTCGAGATGGCCCAAGTGGTTAGAGCGCGAATTTACTGACCGGAAGATCTGTGGTTCGAGCCCGACCTCTGCCTCTTGACTTCCCCTGTCTAGGCTATCCCAGCCCTCGTGCTTCCTTCGCGTGGCATGGCAGCTAGGCACTGAAGGGTATTACAGATGACTGGTTATCTTTATCGACTCGATTTGCAAAGAGCTTCCCAATATCGCGCTTGTGCCCATTCTTCAAAATCTTTCCGTGTCTTCCCAGCTGTTGGGTATCTCTTGGTTCTAGTGTATCCTGTGATATTATCTCCTCCCCAACTTACAGTTTCGAGTCCCACTTATGAGGCTTTATTCAAATAAACTAACATGACTGTACGACAATGAGGTACCGGTGAAGTTACCGTCAATGATGTTGATGGTGTTGCTGTGCTGCATGTGGGCTGCAGCCGCGCGTTGAATCGCGGGTTTAGGGGTCACGCCTGATATCTGGTTTCCCTAAATTTTGTTGGCACATACCCATCGAGTGGAAGCCTGTCTAGGCCAGCCCTCGTGCTTCCTTCGCGTGGCATGGCAGCTAGGCACTGAAGGGTATTACAGATGACTGGTTATCTTTATCGACTCGATTTGCAAAGAGCTTCCCAATATCGCGCTTGTGCCCATTCTTCAAAATCTTTCCGTGTCTTCCCAGCTGTTGGGTATCTCTTGGTTCTAGTGTATCCTGTGATATTATCTCCTCCCCAACTTACAGTTTCGAGTCCCACTTATGAGGCTTTATTCAAATAAACTAACATGACTGTACGACAATGAGGTACCGGTGAAGTTACCGTCAATGATGTTGATGGTGTTGCTGTGCTGCATGTGGGCTGCAGCCGCGCGTTGAATCGCGGGTTTAGGGGTCACGCCTGATATCTGGTTTCCCTAAATTTTGTTGGCACATACCCATCGAGTGGAAGATCAGCCACCTCCAGGTCCTATTTGGTCGGGACTGGACATTTCAACGGATTAGATGGGAGGGGCTCTTGTACCCTATCCATTTCTGAGCTTTATGATCATGTTGAAACTGCTGTTGGGTTAAATTAGCTGACAAGCTTCGTAAGAACGCGGGACAAGATGTTTTCAATCCAATAGGCAGGTCATAAATCGTTCAACTGGTCAGGCAGGTCATTGATACGGAAGAACACTACCAAAGGTCCCAGCACACTTCCTTGGAAAGTCGTGCTTATCGGACCACATACTAGTGAGTACATTGCACACCTTGACAGTGGAAAGCTTGTCCTTTGAGACTTAGCAGTCCAGTCAAAGGTCCGCTGTAGTACCATTTATACGTAGTTTGAGAGGCAGCAACCTATTATTTAAGTAGACGGCTTTTTCGCAGTTAATATACCTGACTTAAGCCTCTTCACCTCGTTCAGCATCCTCTGCAACTTCGTCACCGGAGGCTTGTGAGACAGGGTCGTCCGTTGACAAGGCAATCTACGGGACGTAACAGTTTCTGTCTCAGGTTACAGTCAATTTTCACCGGTGCATTAGGTAGATCAACTGATCACTAGTGCTTCACTGGGTTGGTGTCCTGTTTTCTTTTAGTAGATACAAATCTCGCTGTATTCCCCCCTGTGATAGAGAAAGGTTGTATAACTCTGCAAAGAGACATGGCACTACTCAAGCAAGGGATCACATTGGAGTGGGACGCACGTTATCTAAATTCGGAGACTTGCGTTGGATTGTTATAACCACTCACACCCCTTCGGCTGGTTCTTACTGCCTTGCAAGAGGAAGACAAAATTTGTATATTGGCAGATTCTTAACAGGAACGCCATGATGGAAGACTTGCCCTACTGGTGAAATGAAGGGGAAAAACGAAAATGGAAGTCTTTTTCATAAAGGAAACTACTCACAAGGTTGCTGAAAAATCTTCGACAGCCCACGACCGAGTTTTTTAAATTTATTTCCACAACCGGTTTCGCCCTTCTTGGGGCTCATCAGGTAGGCGCAGTTCCCGAGTTTCCGTCAACCTTATGTTCTACTTGAACTTGAAAATGGAAGTCGGTCGGTAGTGGGTGGACCTTGGAGTAAATGCCGCTGAACGATTGTACTATGAGGTGCTGTCTTTCACAAAGAAGCTTTTACAGCTGAATTTATTTCAGCAATGATATTAGGCGGAATAAGGACTGAGCCCTAATTCTCTCCCCCTGGTGGCTCAGACTATACTCTTCAACAGTTCCATTTATTGATTACTTTAAGGGTAAAATACTGTTTTCGACAATCGCAGTTTATTGCTCTTAGCGATGAAAGAGTCAAGTTGCTGTTCTCGTTAAGGCACCTTGCTACTACACTACTTTGGTGAAGTTTACCCTGTGCTCCTCAAAAAAATCAGACCCAGCTCTTTGTCTCTTTACAAGAGCTCTCGACGAGCAGCAGACCACCGTCTAAATTTGCTGAGTGGTCTACGTCATTTTTGTCTTATAGTCTTAAGGTCCAATCCCGTACGCAACTTGTAATAATGGCTAACTTGCAAAGAAGCACGAATACTTAGAGGTGCCCTCGAGCTAATTCCAGTTCTCAGCCAGTGAAATATATCTATCCTCTACAGTGCGTAATCAGCCTTTCTTGATTTAAAATAATAGTAACGGAAGGGCATGAGCGTTTAGCTGTAGCACCCTTCGGGTACCTAGCTGCCATGCCACCCGAAGGAAGCACGAGGGCTGGGATACTGCCAGGTTGCCCAAGCCTAGACAGGGGAAGTCGAGTGGCGGAGGTCGGATTCGAACCTCGGACCTTCCGGTCAGTAAATTGCGCTCTAACCACTTGGGCCCAAGGGCATGAAGTCAGCTGTGATCTGGATTTCAATGACCCTGATGTCGAATAACTTTGGGATAGGTATACGGTTGCTTACTTCATATTGGTTGTTCCATCGGCCGCAATAAGGTGTTTTCACTCTCGAGATAGCTGAGTGGTTAAGGCACGAACCTCCTTTTCGTTGTTCGAACCCAACCTCAGCATCTTGATAGCACCTGCATAGGCTGGGACAACATGACAGTATCTCAGACGTTGTGCTTCCCTCGGGTCATCATCATTATCGGCTGTAAGAAACGCGTACATGCCTTACGGTGGTTGTAGCTGCCACAGTTTAGTTCACCGATGATTTGGGGGAGGCGAGGTAGGTAGCTACGCATTGGATGTGGGAGCTAATAAATTGGTGCGTAAGTACAGAACTGTTAAGCGGGGGGATTAGGAAGGGAGCTATGCATTTAAGACAATAGTTTGGATGCAAGAGCGCGACTGGGCCGTGTCTGACAATGTCTCTAACCATTGATGTGGCCCTCTCAGGGCTCCCATCCAGAAAGACGGCAATGACCAGCGCAGCTTAGTTTGCGGGTAATGGCGTTTATACTTCGCTTCCGATTCATTGTTTGACATTTGGCTCGTTTTCATGCTTCACATGGTTGTACGAAAAGGATTCTTAGGCTTGACATAGGCGTTTAATATAGATAGTTAGATAGATCGTTCAGTGCCTAGCTGCCGTGCCACCCGAAGGAAGAACGAGGGCTGTGATACTGCCAGTTTGCTGAAGCCTACACAGGGGAAGTCGAGATGCAGAGGTCGGACCTTCCGCTCTAACAACTGAGCCATCTTATGCTAGCGGCTTCATGGCTTGCAGCCTTGTTATTCGGTCGTGCCGACTTCATATCATTGAACCTTACCTTCGACGACAGTGTGGAGACTACTCCTAGGACACAGATTAAAAATCACCATCGGCGGTAAGCTCAGCAACTGAACTTGAATCGTGTATTCCAGCTTCGGAAGTGAAACAGACGTCAGTCTACAGAATAGGTAAAGTACGCGAAAGAAAAGCTTGCTGGCCAATCTACCTCAGAGTTCTCACGTTAAAGACTACAAGTAAAAGAAGGTGGAGCGGACGCGGAGGGGTAGATTGGATTGGTGGCGTGCAATGCGTTAATCCATAGGTGCTTAACCCTAGGCTCTATATGCAATAAATGCTATATGCAATAATTGTAAAGTGGGACAGAACTAGTTGGGGGATAACAGTGATGAAAGGTGGGATATGCCAGTAGTCGTATGTTTTCGCTTGTCCGCCCTGCTATATGCAGTGAGTAGGGGACTTGGATGATGTCATTACGAGATGGCCAATGTGCTGTGAAGGTATTTTTGTCATGGTTGTACTTGGGATGGGGTACTGCCAGGACACCCAAACATGGACAGGACAATTAGGACCTTCAACCAATGCCTTTGATTTAAAAACCTGACCACAAGGCAGCAATGTTAAGCCTAAAACAGCCCGAGCAGGCACAATTTTAAGGAAGGGATTGCCGCACTTGTTCAAACTTCCAACCTGGAGGGCCAGAAGTCCGTTTGCTAAACCACAAGAAGTAATACGAAGCCCCTGAGGAAAATTTCCGGCTATATGAGCATGGCGTATGGATTGGACACGGGACTCAATCCCTACCATCTACCTGACCAGTTTTTTTCCAGGCAATCTGGAGAGCGCTGTGTATTGACGAATGACTCAAAATTTAAGCTAGCAACGGAGTCTGGTGTACTTTCGAACCTTCCTAGTCACCCGACGTGTTCACCTTGAACCGAACCATATGAAGCAAGGCAGCAGTAATCAAAATGAACACACATCGAAGCTACGGATTGGGAGTTGTTCCAGGGGCCGGCTCACTTCCCCGGCAAATCTTCACATGTCATCCGGATGCCGAAAAACCGAAATGACCTGTCCACTCATCAATTCCAATGAAGAACAGCACTACAACCGGACTGGTTTGATAGTCCACTACCTCACTTCTCGTTTTGAATTAATACCACTCGGGCGCTCACCTGGATACTTGCGCAGCGACTCCACACTGAGCGATACCTAGTGTTCTTTTGAAGATACCACAACTTAATACCAAAACTTAAAACAACGTGCAACCGGTCTCTCAGTGCCAAAGTTGCTTCATAACCCGACCAACATATTATCAACGTGATGTTACGCACCATCCTCAGCTTCTGGTTTCGGTTACCTGTAACCCGGGAAACTTTGATAATATGACGTGTATCAACTAATCACTCGCTGAAGAAAGGGTGTGTACTGAATTTCGAGTTTGTACTGTTCCCTTTGTATCTCACGTTGGAATGTTCATAGTAGTAGAAGTCACTGCTGTATTTTCACGAAATCTTGCATCAGAAAGTGCATCACTGCTGATCGTCGCAGGTTGGAAGCATCCTATTTCAACATACCACCGGTACTCTGTTTACAGCTTTGTAACGCGAATTCGAATGCACGGAGTGAACGAGAACAATGGTCAGGTAAGTGATTCTCCTATTCCTAACTGCCGTTTTTTCGACCGGCTTCCTTTTGTCGACCAGTGGATCGACTAGAACAGATGTTCTTGCCCAACAATATACTCTCTGTTATTAGTAAAGAGTATTTGATGTGTGGTTCTAACGCTAGAAGTTACGCCTTGCAAGGGATAGGCTCGAGAACACGCCACTAAACTTCAACTGACATGCTTATTCGCATTCATGCATTCATTCACACCCATCTGAACACCTTTTGTTCCCACCTGATCAAAGGCCAGTACACCGTTAACATATCCATTGTCGATAAACTGTATTTGGCTGATTGTTTACCATTTTATGGTGGATAAACACTGGATCGGTAGTGCACTTAGCGTGATCCATTTGTATAACCATCGCTTCCTCATCTATATCGTCACATGCAGTGTGAACCGACCATTTTTTATTAATGCATCTACCAATGTTTAATTATGATAGTTCACGCTACTGTCAACTCTACGTAGGATCATGCTTACTGGCTAGAGTGAATCCCCTAACTTATACACCAGCAAGAAGGCCACGGGAGTCGTTGATCTTTGTATTACCACTTACAGACATCTGTCTACTGGACTAAACCTTGACCAGCCTATGTTCCGTCTATTCAACCGTCGTAGCCACTTGGAGGCGCGAGTTTTCATTTGTTTGGTTGCGTTTGTCGTTTGGAGCAACCAGGGATAAACGATCACACTAGTGAGATTTTCGTACCCAGTGAGTCAAGCATGCGGACTTTGCCCACATGGTTATCTTGTTAATACTGAAGCCCTGATGACAGTCGTGCAAAGTATTTCAGATTTATCTCATCAGTGATCTTCCGGCGTACATCATCAATTGCTGTAGCGAAAATGCAAATTGCATGTCGTATATGTAAACGTAAAAAGCTGGGGCTCCGTCACGAAGAGACTGCGCCTTACCGTGGTGTGACGGTTTGCGCACTTCAGCGACCCATTGAGCTATAGTGGGGAGTGTCCCCGTGACACTCAGTCTCATACCAGGTTGGTCCATGGGTAGAAGTCTGACGAACACAGTCTCCTGGACCTCCAGGTTGGGGGTTGGAACATGTGGCGACTTGTTCCGTAGAAATGGTAATGCACTTGCATTTCCCGCCAAACACCGCTGCCTTGCGGTTGGGTTTTTGAGCTAAAGGCTTTTGTTGAGGACCCTAATCGTCCTCCTGTCTAGGTGTGGGCACCCTGGCAGTATCCCAGACCTCGTACAACCACGGTGTTGAACACTGATGTCATGCTGTCCATGATGATGATGATGATGGTGATGAATTATACTCCGTCAGCTGCAAACCGAGTGCCTACAGCTACCCTTAAGCCTATCGATTTTAAGAAGACTAATGTTGGGACTGTAATTTCTTCCGGAGCCCTCGTCGCCGTCAATGACAGCAACACTAGCGAAGAATGATGGTGCTTTATGTGCCTTCCACTTTCGAGACTATAAGGATTACCGCGCACGGAAGGTGACAACTGAGTCACAAATACCCCACTGACAATGTTGTTGCCTTATATCAGCGTCCGTATCAGTGTATTTCCTCTCCGAATTCTCATTATACTAGCTGATTTTGCTTACCAAAGCTTTCATGTATCACTTCCAAGTCATCAAGACCGGAGACACAGGTAATTTAACCATCGTCCTAGTAGACGGTGTTTTGGCGTGCGTAGCCCGTGGCCTAGACATTGCAGCTGATGATGGTGCTGGATTTATTCTGCGACCGATGTATCTGCTGCACGAACAAATACTCGTTTCTAGTTACCTCGGTGAGAATCTATTGACGCCACCCGACATCAGCAATGCTTCAGGTATCGTTGTCTCGCAACCATACAACAATGCAATCCTTACGGCAGCCTTGCAATTCTCAAGGCACGGTGGTATGCCGTTTTGATGCCACAAGTGACGCAGATTAAGAAACGTGAATGGGATCTTTGACATTCGTATCCTGACTTAATCACACACGCTTCACTCAGAACTAATACAACTACCCAGGTATGCAAAGTTCTCCACACCCCATGCCAATACTTCTTTACTTGTAAGGGGTATGATCAAAGAATGCACGTCCTGAAACATGACATCAAGCTTTGAAGGTGAAAGGCGGATGCCGAAAGAAGGCATGACATGGTCAGTTTATTTGTCATCAATAACCGATACCGGGCCATTCGGCAGGCGTTCATGGATCCGGTTCTGATGATTTGGTTTGATTTCTGAGTCCACTAGCCTCTCCGTACCCGAGCGAGATGTGCGCCTCTTACGCAGACCTGAAAAGTGCAGTGACAATAAGCAGCGGACAAGTGCATGGTCGGAGTTCACACTAGTGTTCCAGAATGAGCGTGTGACTTCCAAAATTGAAGTACGTCTATTCGAGAAAACGCACAGTGACTTGGGTTTGAACGATCGATTGATACGTGACATTGATTCGCTTTTGGTATGTTCGAAGAGTCATCAGGTCGAATCAGGGGGCTGGCATGCGGATACCGCACAGGCCTTCAGCGAATAGATCGATCAAAGTGCATGACATGTTGCTTCCAACAGTTGTGTGACCGTTACCTACTGGTGATCGAGCCCTCGTTGCGCGTTTGTTTCGGTCGTCACCGTCTACGTCGACTGTAATTGAAAGGTTTGGGATTTGTTATGTGGAACTTCATTTGTTTGTCTTTTGTGTTTGTCATTTTTCCCATGGCACATGTGCATAATTCCTAAAATAGCCTCAAAAATTTCTCACAAATTCTACCGAATAAATTCTCATAGTTTCCACGCAAGTATTTGGCTCGCAGTCGAATGGGGATGTGGTGTTTCTTTTAATAGATATTTTTTCACCTTACTTCATTCAGATCGATTCGCGTTTGTTCCCAACGCTCACCAAATGGACCCGTGGACTTCAGATGCGACATGTCCTCTTAGAACTTCGACATAAAATGGCAGCTCCAGAGAATGCACGACTTTCGCAACCAGCTGAAGGATCGACATACGTCTGATTTATTATATTCTCGGTGACTTTCAACCCCTCCAAGCAGAGATCCTGGTGCAGCCGATGACTACAAAGTTTATAATGTAATTTGTTGTCAGACCACCATTTTGGTCGCTTACTCTTCACATAAAGAACAGCCAATAAACACCTGTTGACTCATTTCGGTCCCCCTACCACAACGTACGTTATTGGTACCAAGAGGCGAGTTAACCCAATGTGGTCCTTAAGCGAAAGGAGCACATTTCTCTAAGCTCTCCTTGACAGTAGCACCATCACTGTCACTAACATACGATCGCAATAATCTTATTTTGGGATACTCTGGTGTGCGGAATTTTCACCCATGGGCGAAAGTGACTAGGACGTCTGCTTAATTTGGACCTAGCTCCAACTTCCGAAGCAGGTGACCAAACAGTCAACAGAAACACTTGACATTTGTTGGTTGACTGTAGCGTATTTTCTCTATTCAAGCACAAAGTTAAGCGGACCCCGTGATAATCCGCATTTCGTGCTCTGTAATCCTCAAAGTACGCCGCGGTCCACACAATATCAACCTGTTCATCGTAACAAATAGGTTCTTATTTGTCCCACCTTTCTACATGCGCGCTTGGCATTCAAACTGAAGATGTTTTCGGTACCAACAGCAGCGTTTTCCATTTGATTGCGTCCAAAGACTGTCACCCATATCTTTGAAACATGTGCCGACCCGAATACAAAGATTGACTAAATCAAATGGTGCTGGAATTTTGAAATGATGGGCCACCACACAATTAGGAAGATGCGGTTGCTGCTACATTGACTGCATTATCTCTTGGCTAATTTCCTCTGCGGACTCAAGTGGTGTGCATTCAAAATCCAGTTTAATAGCTCCTACTTTAAGTGGCCACTCTTGCCTTGTTTGCCAATCGAGTTGGTTTTATCTAAGCAGTATGGGCTACCAGAATCATACTAAATAGCAGTTTATTCGTCATCTTTCGTAGGAACCTAACTGTTAACCGCGAATTCGACGACAACTTTCTGTCCATTTCCGAGTTTTTTGGTATTGGTTGATGAGACTGGAACTACAAATTTGTTCCAGCCAACATTCCAACGTTGCAGGAGATCACTGCTTTGAACAAAATATCAGCACATTCACCCACACACCTACTGTATTTTTTATTAGTTTTCATAAAGTAGGACGGGAAATCCAACCGAACCCCCCTTAAACAATCACTATTGTAGGCCGAGAGTTTCCATCCGCTTTCCCGCCAAATTTTGGCAATTTCTTCGCATAGGTCGGGTTATAAAGCTGCTACCTCTAAATGCTATGGGTTGACCTGCACTCAAAGCATTTCAGTGAAATATATTATGTGGTGCCCAACATTTTTGCAGTGGTTGGTGAGTTTTGGCACGCTTTGAATGTAATAAAAGCTTCCATATGAGACTGTTGAGACTGTCCATCAATTAGAAGTTCCTCAATCCCCTTCAGAGCACTAGATTGTAAACGAGCTGGACTTATCGGTGTGTTTGCTTGTCTTTCGACGGGAAACCGTATGCACTGGTTTCGTCCTGGTGAGAAGAACCAATATACTCGCAGTGGCATTCCATTCGCTCTCTGCGTCGTGCTAAATCGCTGTACTGTCGGAAACAAACAGCGTCGATTAGACTCTGGGATTATCAGATGCTGCAGCAAGTGCTTGTAGGACGTCGTTGTGAAGAACATGTACCTACGGGTCACCCGTGTTTATCATCGTCATTGGCAGCAATACCATCACCGACATACAGCCATGTTATCTGTGTGAATAAAGCCTTTTAGTGGAAAGAAGAAAGAATGGAACAAGGAGGTGACCTACGCCTAGCCTACCGCAAACATCCGAGGTGCCTACACCGATATCAGTCAGACAGTCTGAATGGATACTGATAACATGAACAGAATTGACATCGGTTAGCTGCCATATGGTTCACTCTCTCGATGCAACCACAGTGAGGGTCACATGAACACCATCCTGGAAGGCAAACCACCAACGGCACTCAAACTTCGTAACATCATCCCCTGGTTCCATATCAGATTCCACTCACCTCTGAGTTTTCGCCACTCCGAATTCCGCAGCAGAAAAGACTTGTAGGCATGCGCCGGCCTTCGTAACTTGCAATGCTAGATGTATTCTTTGAGTGAAGTACCTTCTGCTTCACCGAAGACCCACTCCTTGATCACGCATTGTGGATTCACTGTTCCGAACTTATTCCACCTCTAGTCCTACGAATTCTGGTTAAAGATCTGAAAATAGCAAAGTACCACTACAGATGGCCGGGTCAATTACAAACGTACATCCCGCGCTTCATCTTATACACGTCCTTTGAGACCTGGTGTCACAGGCGGTGGAGATTGGCCAATGCAATTCTGATCTCGAGATTCGTGCATTCTCTCACAATCGGACTCTGACCATAAACTTGTCCGCTGCTTATTTTCACTGCGCTTTTGGGGTCTACGTAAAAGGCGCTCATCTCGCTCGGGCACTGAGAAGCCAGAAATCAAACCAAACTATTAAATATTGACTCCATGGACACCTGCCAGATGCTCCGGTATCGGGTATTAACGACCAATGGGAACAGATGTCCAAAACGCTGCTCAAAGCCGGAGCTTCCGTTTGCAACACAACCCAGCCGACCTCATCCATACATTGGGTCTCTGATAGGACCGTGTTTTGTTTGAAGCTCGGCGACAGATTCTTCCCGATCGTAACCACAGCTCCGCCCGACGCACCATCCGACACCAGGTAAAACATCGTCTATGCATATTAAAAAGCCTGGCAGAGCCGAAAGGCCGGAAAATTGAAGGTGCAAAAATGCTGGAAACGGTCGCAGGCTGTCCCACTTGATTTGTCTGTTGGCCCTCGGAGGCTTCTTTTCAATGAAACTATGGTGGACCATAATGACTCTGATCTTCAACAAAGGGGACCGTTGGGCACAATGCATCAAACAAAAATTCAGTTGGCAACCGACTACCTCCAATCTGGATTGCTTGCCTTCAACAAATCGAAACCAAATAGCATTCGATGGGCTGTGGGACAACATGAGCGGGTGATGCTGTCACTGAATAGCTTAGGACCTGCAACAGTGTGTAATGATTTCAGCGGACTGTCGCATAATTCACACTATAGGATAGGTTAGATTTTTTGCTTAGCTGGTTTTGATCAATGAAGTATCGGAAGCTCACTGACCACGAACCCTCAGAACCTCATCAGCACCATAGCCTGTTCCTCCTCGTGCTTCCTTTGGTGCCGCTGAGTTGTGACAGCTGATACAAAACATTGCCTGAGTTGCAGTGTCAACTCAGGCCAGATCAATGCGAGCTGTATGTACTAAGAAGGCGAATACTCAACAACGTAATACAAGATGTATGTATAACTGAAACAGATTACTGAATTCTAACCTTTCAGCGGCTTGCTAACAACGTAGCAGAACAGGGGATACCACTATTTCTATAAGTTAGTCCACTACTCAAATTGTGAACCGAAAAACCTTTGGGTAAGTTAGCGTGCAGGTGGTGGATAACGCGCTTACGGCAACTACTGTGTGCATCAAAACGACTGAAAATGGTAACGTTCACCAGGAAGATATCTGAGGAGCATATAAGAACGCATATATATGTAGAATATCATGCGCATACGCAAAGCAGGCTACGAACTGGTCTCATGACACATTGTTGACATGAGTTTGCTTCTTTGCAGGTACGAGCAGAATAGGTGGTTTCCTGGCCTGATTCTGGGTTGTGATGTCCCTCTGAGCTACTGCATCCGAGGTTTGCAGTCACGAGCAGGGACGCACGTAATTTGACTGTTGGCGCGCGACTAAAACAGTTTGGTTGCCTGAAAAGGATATCCCTATGGCGGGCTGTCGTGGAGAAATACGGTGTACGCTGTATCAGTTTACGTCTGTGCCTATCCCCCGCATATTTTGTTTTGTTCATCCAGTTTCTGTTGCCTGATTTTTTTTGTTTCTAGGGTGCACTCTAGTACGAGTCATTCGGAAAAAATCAGTTTGAGTTAGTTTGATCTTCCCTAAAAAACTAGGAAAAATGTGCCAGTTGGTTCTCTCTGGTCAACTTGACGTGATTAGCCAGACAGATTTGAGCGCGTAAACGGATTTTGTTTATTCTGGCTAAAACCCCCCAAGGTAGTGGGTAGAACCCACAGTCTAGTCCATATGATGAATATTTTTGAACTTATCATCTGGAATACTGCGAATAAAGAACATGGTAAGCATACAATCCGGTGGCCCTGTCATCCCTATGCGTGTGCCATCAAGGTCAGTTTTTTCGCTCCTGATAAGCTCGGTGGTTAATGCGTGGGCTTACTAACAGGAAGGTCCGTGGTTTGAACCCAGCCTCAGCGACTCAACCGCTCCTGTCGAGGATTGGACAACATGGTGGTATGTCAGCCCTCGTGCTTCCCTTGGGTGGTTTGGCAACTGGGCACTGAAAGGGTGTTGCAGCTAAACTACGGTGCCAAGGACGTGTTAAACAGTAGAAACACCCCTAACAGGGCCGTGTTGACTTCCTGACTACATGAAGTTTCTCAAACTGCAACAGTGGGCAGGTTGAACGTGAATAGACTGGATTCTATTCAGCCAAAAGCACGAAAATTGACTTCAGACTTCACAAATAGACCTCGTTATGTTGACAAAAGGTAGGCATTACAGGACACAGGGCCCTTTCATATTGCATCCAAGCGTCGAGGGTAGCGAAGTCGAGCGCATTTTTGGATGCCTTCAACGTCCACCTGCCCAAAGTACAACGAGGTAGGTGGGCCCGCTGTATACTGTCCCTACTCACTTGATTCCTATTCTGGAACCAGGTTGCCAAGGTTTTCTTTGTAGTGTCCGCTTCCGCAACATCAACTATTCACCAGTGGTGTTCCGTATGAAGCTGCCTCATTACTGACAGAGGTTTTGCCACCGGTGACTACCGTAAGTATACGCATTCTGACGGGAAAGGCAGTCCCGTCGCAATTCTTTTTGAACATGGAGAAAGAGGAGCATAAAATACACGTATTGTTCTTTGATTGCTCACCAATCAGCATCCAGAAGTTCCCGCCTAAGGGGGACGAATCGACAGCGCGGCTTCATTTGTGAGGCGGAAGTTACGCGAACAAAATGCGATTTGCTGTGAAAAATTTGAGTGCCGTACGAATGGGGAAAAAAGAGACTCATTAAGTTGCAAACTAAACGTGGATTTGATCCATATCTGTCCGAAGCTATTCTTTTTCCGTTGGGACCATTGCACTAGTCAGTTCACATAAAATGAACAGAGGGACGCTCATCGTGAATCCCGAGGGTAGTTAGACGAATGTCATCTATTCTGACAATCTTGAGAAATCATCAGTATCATACTTCAACACACAGCCATCAATGGGCAATCCGAATGTCTAACGGAGTGCATACTCTGTTGACATGTTTTACTAAACCCAGGTTGAATTTAAGAAGCATTTTAGATATCCGGCTGGTTGTTGTTTTTGAGTCTATTCCATTCGGAAGAACCCACTTGCATTGAAACTTGCAGTGTGTTTCAGACTTCACTTGCTGATGATACGTCAGCATAAGCGTCGGTTCACTGAAACCTACGGTTCACCGGCGTTTCCAAACATCCGAATCGCCCCATCTTCTGATAACGAAGATTCCCTGGCTTTCTCATCATGCAAGCCGATAATCACACGCTGAGGAGCCATTTCCTCCGTGAATCTATCTAGGACAAAGTCAGTCGTGGCATTCTACTAAAGTTGGTTGGATTCTTGCGTTGGAGTCACTGGCATACTCAAGGCTGTAAGAAAGCTTGAAAGATAGTGTACATATATGGCTTTACACAAACAAGCACGCACCAAAGGAACAGAGGACGCTAGGAATATTTTTGCCTTCCTTGCCCTTGGTCGTCAAACAATTACTGCAGCAGCCGAATTTCGTACCTTACAGTATGATCGTCTTTGGGCACTTGTAAACAGCAATTCGATAAGGTCTACGAATTTTTTTCCCAACGGTTCTACCTTGACAGGGATGACCTTTCGTATGCTGTCTTGAAAATGATATGTGTATTTAGTGAGTCGCGAATAGCAGATATGCTAAATGATCCATTGTTTTGGAGGGAAGAATACTTGTGCGCTGATCACAGTGAATTTAGTGGCCATCTTGCGAGGGTCGAATAATCTATTATAGTCATCTGGATAGAAGAAAATCTGCTCATTTATAGGGACGTGAATGTGGAGTGTCCAGAGTATTCGTTTGGCTGCTCGTATGGAGCGCTTGTATTCCTACTAGTACACAGCCAAGGTTGTAAACAAAAGAATAAACGGGGAGGGAGAGGGGACGTAGTGCAAGCTCACCACAATCATTCCAAGGTACCTACACCTCCAAACATTCACTCAGGTAATTTGGACAGAAACTGACAACAAGAACGTCATTGACATCGGTCGGCAGCCATATCGATGATGGTGATAATGGGCGGCTATATATATATATATATATATATATATATATATATATATATTGGATGTAATTGACTGGAGTCATCCGAAACAGATCCGCGGGTCAGCAGTTCTTGGTTCACGGAGGACATGCGGGTCGATATATATATATATTGGATGTAATTGACTGGAGTCATCCGAAACAGATCCGCGGGTCAGCAGTTCTTGGTTCACGGAGTACATGCGGTTCGCCAGAATACGATCTCAAACATAAGCCAATAATATTGGTATGAACTCGATGAAGCAAGGCTGTCAGTCTACCTGATTTAGGCAGCTAATTAGTCTTTCAACTATAAGCCATTTGCGGAAGAACAGTGATTCCAGCTGCTACAGTTTCATTCACTAAGGCTAGGGCAACTAACGGATAAAAATTCACGCTTTAGAGACAACTGCTGTACAATAGAGTCAAGTGAACTGACTAGATTTGGCACAAGCATCTTTCGACTAGGTTTCGACCCCCTAAGCTGCCATCCAGTGCGTTAGTGTACAGTGTTTCACTTCACGAAAATGCGTAAATCCTTGAAGGAAATATGAACCTGGCGTATCAGGCAATAAATCCGAACACAAAATAACGACAGATTTTGTGTGCATTTATTTCAGCGGAGGCTGCAAACCGATGGAATAAAATAGAAACCAGGAGAAGATGAAAGAACTGAAAAAAAGTTAACCCACCAGAAGAATAGTGAGTGATAGCCTTGCGTGAATAGTGTGCCTAACAGTGACACCGATGGTTCGTTAAAGTCATGTGATGGTCTTTCTGCAAACAAGAACATTTACTCCGTACTGGCGCACTGCGTAGAATCCTGGGTTTGCCGTCGCAGTAGCACACATCCGGCATATGTTCGTCACAGTCGCAACAACCCCGGGACGGATTCTTCTCAGGTGGCCTGCAGCAAGTGCAACTATCAGTGCTACTCGTGTCATTTGAACAGTCACAATTCCCACATACGGGTTCATCGCAATGACACTTGTGAATTTCTGGACAACATGGAATGATTGGCACAATATGACTGGCTCGAGCAGCTTCGCAGATACAGTGGTCGTTGAAAGAATCTAGGTAATCTCGGTAAGCAAGCCGCTGTTCCTCCTCCTTTAGTGAAGTATAGTGAGGTGGGTAGAGATGACATCCAACTTGTACTTGTCGACATCCACAACCTGGGCAGCGTGGTACGGCACTATCTGGGACAGCGGGACGGCAGAGGATATGTTTCACATTGTCCAATGTCGTATCTTTGCAAACAGACAGCTGGGACTTGGCTGGCCATTCAGGCATTATTTTTTTCTGGACTGCCACTGTGTTTTTACAGCTTTCATACCATGCGCTCAACAAAGTCAGTCCAGATTTTTGTGTTACGGTGGATCAAGACTCTGTCGTCATCATTGATACGACATATTTTCGAAATTTATTGATCAATGCATATCTGGTGACTGCACGTTATACCCCATTACTAGTCTGGTTTAACTGATACAGTGTTTGAATCCATTTTGTGAGAAAATTATGACAGGGTTGTTTAGAGTGACTCTTGATCTTCTATTCATACCGAGCTGGTACCTGGTGAACCCCTTATATGCCTTAGAGAACCCAAGAAGTTGGTCGATACTTGGGTAAAATAAGAAGGGATTCTTCAGGAATTAAGCGAAGCCATTAGTTACTACGCGGGCCTCAACTACGAAGCTACGGAGAAGCGCATGACTGCTCACACCTCTACGTAATTCAGTTGAATGGCACGGTGTCTAAATCTTTGCTTTATTATAATACGTGGTGACTTCAAGGAATGTCTACAAGTAAGACTGGATTTCCAAAATGTACCGCTCTTCACTTAGAGACTTCTCTTGTCTTCTCGACTGCCCCATCGAGGCCTGATATCTCAGTTTCCATACCTTTTATTAGTTGCGTCGCACTCTAATAGATTCCATAGCTGAATGCAGATGATATCTTCTGGCCGAACGAATTAATGGTGGCGGGGACAAGCAAGTAATTTGCACGTCTACCAACCATTCTGACTAATCAACGTTTCGCATTTTTTCTGCTACGTATGGGATTAGCCACCCTGTACTATTTCTTTGTGGATGATATCCTACTCAAGTGAATATTCAAACTTGATTCCATCAAAGGGCTATAAGACGGCGAACAATCAACCTAAACCAGTCTTTACTATGCTCAACGAAACAGTTTCTTTGTTTCGGAAGACCAAATAATTGATATGTGGCCGCACACTGCAGTATTTGTAATCCAGATATCACAGAAGATAATCTTGCTCGTGAGCAAGATTCCAACGGGTTGCCCAAGCCACAAGCTTCGGAGTTACCTGGGAAGTCGATCACGACAAATTACGTTAGTCAGATTTCGAACCTATCCCTGAAAGGAGTGGCTGTCTGTACTGCGGTGACACGATCCCATCGGATCTGGGCAGGAAGGTGATGAAAAAATCAGTGTTAGGCGAATGGTATTCTTTGACTCCACTGGCATTACACACGGCTAGAAGGTCCGACATTCGTTAGACAGGACTATCCCCTAGTTGCCTCCGCAGTAATCACCTTTTTTAAGGCAGTAAATATGTAGGGTTGAAAGGTAAGAGTAACACAAGATTTCAGAACCTGCACTCATGTATAAGAAAATGAGCTTCAAAGAATCAGTTCCAATGAGTTCTCGAAATGAGCATCCAAAACCGTTCAGAAGTATACGTATTTGAATGGTTGAAGTATCCTTATTCCAAGTCTTTAGCCGGAGCTGTAGGAAATTTAACATTTCCTATCTGTTTTTAACACGGGGGACTGCCTCATGGATGTGACGTTTTACTCTCGGAGTGTATGACATTCAAATAAGAATGCGGCGTATGAGTTAGGGTTCCATCAAGATTCCTGAGTGGTGGTTTAGTGGGTACGTATGTAGTTCAGTGATTGTGTATGAACCGACTCAACGAAAGTTTTGTCTGGCAACATGCTATTCTTACTTCGACGGACTGCGTTATAGTATGCGGAAACGTTGAATGCCTTGGTCCTTGTTTAGCCCACTGTGATAAATGCAGACTTATCTCAACCGTTTGGGCCTCATGGCAAAATCGCGAAGTCCCAGATATCCATCAAGAAGAAGAACGGTTGAAGGGTAGAAAAAGAGAGGAAGATGGTTCGAAATAGTCTGCTACTAATAGGGAAAGGTCGGAATCGATACATACCGTTCGACGGCATGTAGTTTTTTTTGAGTGCTTGTGTATCGCTGAATTAAAGAGGATTTCAAGGATTCCAGGTGTCCAACTTCTCACGAAACCTAAAGAAAAGAGGTGGCTGGGTGTCTCATGAGTGCAATATCCAGGGGTCGAAAAATTTTTAATGTCATCATCATTACGAACAGCATATTATCCGTGATCATGACTGATGTCTCGCTGCCGTAAAACCATTTATTTGTAGAAGAAAAGGATAAAAGTGGGTGGGAAAGGGACATTGCTAACCCGGCACAAGTATTCCTAGGTTCATACACCTCCAAACACTTACTCAAGCAGAGTGGATAGACTGGCAACAAAAACTGTTGACATGGGTTGACAGATATCTCCTTACAGCGTCTCCAGCCACGTACAGAGGGGATCATCATCTGAATGGCAATATATCGTGACATGGGAGAACGGCAGCGTGCTTGAGGAATTAAAGGTGGTTTTACATATAACATGGCAAAATGACTGTCTTGGCAATCTGTTCTGAGTCTCCAATGTAAGCAGCACAGAATGACGTGACTATTCTACCCTAAAATAACCAGTGTGATTACATCTGACCGATTAATTGAGCAGAACTGATTTTTGTTGAGTGCATCAAATGTTTTGCTTGACTAAAAATATATTCAGGACGTAAATCACAACGCATGTATCTTTCTTCATTTTTCGGTGAAATCTGCACACTTTTCACAGGTACGTGTGCTATTTCCCAGTACAGTGGGTCACGAAAGTACTCATCAAAGAACCAGTGCTTGTTAATGCACACGAATTCTCGGTCACTTTGTCCCATAAGGTACGCTTTGTAGGTAGATTTTATGATTGCTGACCAAAAATAAAAAGTCCATGTTGTTGTTAAAAAGGTTCTTGTTTTTTAATGCGAAGGATGCAAATGAGTCCAAAGGTGACATTTTTGGTCGTGCATTTACTACAGTGACTTTTCCATTCAAGACGTTGATTCTTGCTAGACTAAGAAGAATTCTAGTACACTTGAAAATATATACCCTGTGGGTTTGACATGACCAAACACAGGAACCTTAGCTTGTTACCTAACAGCAGAGATTTGTTCTAACGTTTCTGGATCATAAATTAGTGACTTTCTGCACATTCCTCCAAACAGTAGCAGCCGTTCGTTCGGTATTAAGTCTCTTGAACGTGTTGTTTACAAGCCGAACTGCACCAGTTTAGTTGTTTTTTTTTGTGGAAGCCGTATAGCGGCTGGCTGTTTCTCGCTTATGGAATGCACGTAGCAGCTGCACGATGCAACATGAGCGGGATGACTTTTCAGTCAACTGGAGAAGGTTGGAACCAAAATGGATGATCTACCGTCTATTGGTTCAACAACTGCGGTTTTCTTGAACTTGATGCCTTACGGGTGAGTTCATGATGGAAAACTGTTTGTGAGGGACAACTGCAAATAAGGTGCATTATTCCACCCAAACGGACTTTCCGGCAGAGTTTCCCGATGCCGCACCAAGTTTAGGTTGTCATGGCGAGGAGTCGCTATTTCAGAAAGACCGCCAATGAGATCTAATCAGTTGTCGATAGTTCGGCTGCATACTTGTAGCTATCTTGAACAGTTATGTGGGAATGAGATGACTGTGTGTCTGTAATACGACCAGATTCTGCTTAATGCCAGTATCAGAATCAACGCTCATGAATACTCCATAGCGGTTTCTGTACAGTACTGAAACATGCGTTCCACAGGTGCTGACGAAAATAGTGTAAGTAAATTTCAGATGCGACGTAAAAGTGTGCAGGACAAGTGGTAGTCGAATAAATGTGCAATTATATTAAACTTAAGTTGACTTGCGAGTGCTCCATTACGCGACATTTCATAATGACTGAGCGACGACACATGTACACACGATTCTGTCGGTAAGGTGAATACAAGCGACCATATGGTCTAGAACATTCTTGATGAAACGCACGAGTTATGGAAGTAAACAGAGCATTGGACTGCCCACTCTTCTTCATCTATAACTCCCCTCTAAATTAATGACTTCAAGCTTTTGAATATTGCAACTGGTCATCGATGTATAAGGAGTATATATGCACTTAAGAGAGGAACTCATAGAACCGTAGAACTAACAGGTGAGAACCTGTGCGGCCTCAAGTACACTTGTAAATATAAGCGATATGAGCGCTCAAACGATCGCCCTGTTCGAAAATACAACGGTCCGTGTACAATTCATGGAGTTGTTCACTTCTCAGGGCTCAGTCTCAGATTAGAGCGCTTCATTTCCTTCCCCAGATGCTAATGCCCTACTGTAAACTGCTTTGACATTCTTGTGATTTCGTTTATAGACGCATGCAAGATCCGGATTTCCTCAAATGCGTTTCTCAGGCAATATAGCGGACTTTGCGAATGTGGTTTATACCCAGGGTGTTAACCGAGAGATATTTCTATCCTAAGCTATTCAACAAAGTGAAAGGGAATCATGACCGAGTATGTCATACCCTGCCACCTGTTCTTGATTTGTGAATATCAGACGTCACATCCCAGCCCATCAGACCAGTTTTGTGAAAACCGGGCTTATCAGAAGCACTTAGCTTGAGCACAGAATTATATCCACAGCATATCAAGCGGCTTGGACCGTCCATATTAAACTGCTGTTCGTCGCTTCATATCGCCTCGTCCATGGCTTTACTTGATCTGACTATCAGACATCATCACTCAACTGGGCATGGATTATACCCAGTCATCCCATTGCTTTGGACCTCCTGATACTCAGTTGAATACAAAATGGAACACTTGGAACTTGGACTTATACGAGGGATTCCCTGCAATAGGACTCCAAAATTAAATACACTTCACTCCGATTCCATAAGAATTTAATTGAAGTTGATATCTTCTGGGGAACAACCTACAGATAGCTAAGAATAAGACGCACTAGGAGCCATTTTCGTCCCACCAAAGACTAGGACGATAAATTAGTCACGTCTTTTATTATACGGAATCATCACGAGGAAACGGCTGCTAACTGAAACCTTCTCAAAGTGTTTGTGTCTTCCACACATGCTTTGGATAGAATGGGAGCGCCGTAGTAAGAGACGGAAACAAGAATGCCATGGTGTTCTGTGGTTGGCCTCAATGCAACTTGATTCCCCCGTGGTGTGACGGTTTGCGCACCTCAGCGATCCATTGAGCTATACTGGAGAGTGTCCCGCGACACTCACAGAGTCTCTCATACCAGGTTGGTCAATGGCTAGAGGTCTGACGAACACAGTCTCCTGGACCTCCAGGTTGGGGGTTGGAACATGTGGCGACTTGTTCCGTAGAAATGGTAATGCATTTGCATTTCCCGCCAAACACCGCTGCCTTGCGGTTGGGCTTTTGAGCCAAAGGCTTTGGTTGAGGACCCTAATCGTCCTCCTGTCTAGGTGTGGCGCCCTGGTAGTATCCCAGCCCTCGTACAACCATGACCTACACAACTAACAATATTCTCATGCCACATCGGCCGTCGCGTGGTGCCATCAGCCGGGTCGCCTTACTTGCTGCATACAGCAGGGCGGGTAAGCGAAAACAGGCTACTGCTGACGCCTCCCTTCTTTCACTTTCACGTTTTCCGTCTTCCGCCCTCCCCCGCCCAAATTTGAAAACTTTATCCGCAGGTCCCAGCTCTAGGACTGACCGTTTTGCTCGCCCTGCATCACACTCAGCTGCAGCTTCTGCACGTCCGAGTTCAGTTACAACCCTAAACACTTCGAAGTCTGTTTTCAACCCCTGAAAGCCTGTCTACTTAGCCACTTTCAATGTTCGCACACTGAAGCAAGCAGGTCAACAGGTGGCTCTTGCGCGTACGCTGGATTCCCTCTGTATTGATGTATGTTGTCTGTCAGAAACAAGGACGCAGGACGCAAGTACTGTAATCGAACTGACTGCCCCCTCGCTCTCTTCCAGGTTCCGACTGCGCACCTCTGGTGATGCAGAGGCCGCTGCAGCTGGATATGCTGGGGTGGGTATTGTATTGAGCGAACGAGCGAAAGCGTCTCTGCTTGATTGGATACCCGTAAACAGTCGCCTCTGTGCGGTTCGTTTGGCAACATCGGTGAGAGAATCTAGAGGAAGTGAGGTTCATCGCACCTTGTTTATTGTTTCTGCTTACGCCCCAACTGACTGGAGCTCTGAATCTGCCAAGGACAGTTTCTATGACGCTCTAGGTGCCCTTCTACAACAGGCTAAAAGCTCAGATATCGTTGTGGTTGCTGGTGATATGAACGCCCAGGTAGGTAGACTAAGCGCTGCTGAGGCCCGATTGGGTAGTCGTCTTGGTTTGGACACTAGACGCACGGACAAC